GACTACATGTAGCTACCAGTCTTCAGGTGGGGTTGAACTTTCTACAGGAACGGTGGTGTTCGTTCAAGCGAGTCCCTCAGTTCGTTGTCGTTGGTTACCGTATCCAAGATAGGGTGCTCTGCCAATCCGCTGGTGGTCAGTACCGAAAAAGTGGACAGCAGAAATGGCAGTGATGGTGGGCATCGTGGGGAGTTTCTATGTAATCAAGCAACAAGAGACAAAAGATGATGCACCGAAGTCTGATGATGGTGATGATGTAATATGCAGAGGTTGCAAGCCGGTGAATTGCCTGCAAAGCCGTCAAAGACAAGTTTCGATTTTATACACTCTCAAGATGGTATCGCTATCTTAAAAAGGATAGAAAGGCGGGTTCCAGCGCCTCATCGAGACCATGCCTTGTGTCGTACAACTCCCGTAGCTGGCCATTCTCTAAAGGTACACGAATCCAACGGAAAAGACATTCCCGACAAGCAGCATAACACACTATACGAAGGCTGGTACAGAAACAGCCCTTAGGTGGGACGCCAAAAGAAACAATAGGTGAGCAATGTCAACGAGGATAGATGCCAAGGTCGACGTAAACTCAACCGGCAATGCGTCTCGGTTACTGACAATTTCCTGCGTCTGCACTTGTCGATGCCTGTTACCAGGTGCAATCTATTCGCTCGCAAGGACGCCCATGGCTGCTATAAGGCAGCGTAGCTGGCATGGAAAAAAGAAATTGGACCCGGAGGAACAATTATGTATGCAGAAAAACAAGACTTCGTGCTATTTACTCCATAGTATAGAGCAAAAGACGTTGCTCAAGCGGCTATGGTGGCGAGCCAAGCATTCTGGATTCTTATGGGTCGCTCTTTGGTATTCTTAAAAATTGTTGGCCCTACTTGTAAGCACTTACTAGCTAGTTAGTTTCAAGTCAATTGGGAGCTCAGCTGCTTGGGTCTCCCTGCGATCGAGAATGTCAGTATGGATCTCCACTGCAAATCAATGCAATTTGGGAAGACATACGAGGCACTACCAGACTGCTACTGTACGTGTATGTAGCTGTGTATGATATTCATGCGATCCGTTCTGAGCTTACATGTAGCGGAACTGGGTCATGGTTTGCCAGGATGCCTTTTGCACTTTCAACAGTTCTGGGTATAACAAAGAGAGTGCTCGCTTGATGGTTGTGGGTTTTTGGAAGGGAGTTGGGAGAGCTGTTGATGCTGTTGGGGGACAGGAGCTTGGGAAGCGGTATCCGAATCATCAAAATTAAATAACTGAACTGCATTTGGTAGCCCGTCAATTTAAATCCCGCAAAGCCACAAGACTTTGTATGATCCAACAGAATAAGTCCTTTGAGAGCCTAAGGTATATGGATCAATTGACTCTTGCTCGTCATTGTGTCTCAGAATTTAAACCTTTGGCCTAATTGTACCACGTACCACGTATCACTAACAGCTCACCATTCACAACGCGCTCCCACGACTCCACAACTGGGCCACTTCCACGTGTAATGCTGCGCGTAAGTCGTGAAAAAGGCGACTGACCAGTAGCGGGGCGACCAGATTACCTGGTCCCACCAGAGGTAAGTCTCTCATGTGAGAAGGCCCAGAAAACACCCTCTGTCGCGACAAGTGGTTTAAACTGGGGAGAAATGCAGTTAGTTGTTGACCATTCCAGCAGGAACATCCCATTCGTTGTTTAGTATATCCAAGGCTGGACGCCTATTTGGTTTGGATTATTGATACCAACACTATCTTTCGCTTAGTAACGGTAGAGAATAGTCGAACAACAAACACAAAAACGAGAAACGAGGATTACGTCGGCTCCCTTTATTTTTCTTGAAGAAGGACCAGCACGGCTCGTCGTCATCCAGACGAAGCCAACAAACGTCGACTCACAATCAGCAAAGCATCAATCCCTTTTAGTAGAAACACCACAGCAGTGGCGTTTCTGACTATGAGTAGGAAGGTAGTAGACACGCACAGCAAAGAGCACCATGTGTTTCATAAGATGCTCGAATGGCGGTGGCCAATGGTGCTCTATTGTGCGATACTCGCTGTCTGATATGCGCACTTCGGGCTGAGACACAGGTCCTATATTGCTGACAGCGTCGATACAGTACATGGTCGAAAACTCGTTGGGCGGACTCGCGACGCGCGGTGCTTGTTGCCGACCTCGGGCTGATTTTATAGTAGTCTAGATGGGTGTCGATGCTGACGGGGTGGTCATGCTTCATTAGCTCCAGTGCGGTTAGCTGTCGGCACAGTCTGTTTCTATGAGTTCGCGCAGTAAGTCTTAAGGGTGCGGGGTAAGGATTGGATGAGTAAGTGTTGAATTTGACTTACTTTATTAGGTCTACTATCGATCACTATTGTTTTGCGGTTGTTGAATATTGCTTCAAGTAGTCTTCAAACAGATTGGGGAAGAACCGCGTGGTTTCCAACGTTTCATCTCGGCACAGATACCCCAGCTTTTCACTTGCCAGCAATTGTTCTTGTGCTAGCAATGCGGAAATGTGCAATGTGCGAGAGACTTGCATGGCGGTCAACCCTTCATCACCATTGGCACTACTACTAGTGCGAACCGTGAGTTGTTCTTCGGCCAATTCCTTCAATCGAATCGCCATGCGGGTATCATCAAAATTGTCACTTTGGACTACCTTGACACCACTGGGAAACGTCCGTTCGGACATGCCCAATCTGAGACTCTTCATACACCCCGCGGCATCCAACAAATCCTCGGGAGAAATCAGATTGGTCCCTCGCGCTCGATTGTAAATGCAATAAATGTCCGTCAGTGTCATGAGCCCTCCGCACGCTTTCAAACGGGGACGTAAAAAGTCGGCGAGTTGTCGTGCGAGGGTTGTGGTGTAATCATCTGCCACTCCGGAAGAAGACGTGCCTCCTCTATAGTTTTGTCGTGAGAGGGCACTGGTCATGCCCATGTTTTCCATCATGTCGGAAAGTCGTGTCGTGTCTTCTCCTTCTCCCAGTTCCCCCTTTTCCAAGGTAGTTGCATACTTCTGAATGACCTTTACCAATTGTGCTGCTTCTCTCAGTAGGGTTTCCGCGTCTCCTTTGAACGCATCTTCAGTTAACCGTGCAGCTTCCTTGTGTCGGAGATTGGATTTGGTGATGATGGCGTCCTGTGTCACACACACCAATAAAGGAAAAAGAGTCAAAGCCAAGGACAATATAATCAAGAAGCAAAAGAGTTGAGGAACGAGGACTTCTATTCTTTTTTCTTCCAATATACAAACAATTCTCACCACTCCCACTTTTCGAGAGGCAATGGCCTGTGATGCTCGATTCTTTTCTTGCAATCGTTGCTGTGTTTCCCACGCCTTGCGTTCCATGGCTCGTTGCAGAAATTTGAGCAAATCGTCTCGATCCTTGGCGGCTCCCGATTCTCGAAAAATGAGCAACAAATCTCCCATATACGAATGCAACGTCAATCGAGGTGCCGAAAAGGCACTCATCATGCCCCCCGCCACGCTGGTGACTTGATGGAGATGGGACAAGTGCAAAAAGCGGGCATTGCGTTGATTGTCAGAAGTATCAGACGTAGCAAAAAACACGATGCGATGCGTCGTCAAGGAGACTTGTAGATTGTCATCGCGATCAATCCATTTCAAGCCGGATGTGGAAGCGGCACCACTGCCGTCGCTGCTCAAGGGGACCATGGGATCGGCCATGTCCGAGCGGAGATCCATGTCTCCTCGACGCATCAATTCCACTTCGCCGTCTTTGACGTCCATTTCCAACAATCCGGACGGAGTCAATGCTGCCACGGGAAGACACGCCATGGGAGACCAACGCTTTAGTTTCGTGGAGGGCATGGTTGTATTGTAGCTTTTTCGTACGGTGCTGTTCGACAGCTACGGTAGCTAGTTGGACAAGTACTAATCGAAATGGTGAAATGGTGCTTGTGGATTCTGGAGAACGGCTCTTGTGTCATGGTGCTGCTGGTGCAGTCTGCCGTGGATCCAAAAGATACGTGGATGAGCAGGTTTTGGGTTAAGGATGGACTTTGTTCTTTGTATCATACTGTTCAAGGACGCGCGGGAACACAAGAAAACAGGGAACACGTACTGTATGCATATAAACAATTTTTGAATAGAATCAATTTGGCTGACCACTTGTCTACTGTGCTGCTACCGGGTGCCCTAAACTGATAATATGGGGGCAGAGAGATTTGACCCCACCAGCCAGGGAAATATTAATAAAAGTCAACATATTAAGTTAAGGGACATGGATCGCCTCGTGATTGACCCATCCTCGTTGCTGCCCTCATCAGCACTGCTACTAGCTCTGCTACAACCATTGTCTATTTTAACAGTGCCCGAATCCAAAACAATGTCAGACTCAAATGCAATTCCTATAATCTAAAGTGTGGCTTCAGAAAACAGCTCCAAGTATCTGTTTTTTAACAATGATTCAGTAATTATTGGCAATAAAACTAATTAAACTAGTAAAAGTAACAAAATATATAAATATATAAAATAAATAGATTATAACAATACAACTAATTTATGGAATATTAAAATATTTTTCTGTTATATACACAAGTTTTTCTACAAACTAATATTATTCAGAAATAATAAAATACTAGTAAAATAAAAAAGGATAAATTCTTTAATTTTGCTCAATTTATAAATATTCTTAATTGAGAAACCCAAAAACAATTTAATGATCTATTAAAATCAATCATGTCGCCAGTGGGTATACCCCAAGGGGACCCCAATACCCACTGGCTAAGTTGTCTAATTAAATTAATGAAATAAATCATTGTGAGTATTCTCTTAAACGTCATGTAAAAAAGTTGTGTAAAATGTTGCGTAAAAATGTCGTGTAAAAAGTCGCGTAAAAAGGTCGTGTAAAAATGTCGTGTAAAATGTCGTGCAAAAATCTCGTGCAAAAATGTCGTGCAAAATTTCGGGTAAAAATGTCACGTAAAAATGTCACGTAAAAATGTCGGGGAAAAAGGTCCTGCAAAAATGTCGGGCAAAAATGTCGTGCAAAATGTCGTGCAAAATTTCGTGCAAAATTGCGTGCAAAATTTTGCGCAAAATTTCGCGTAATGTTGCTAATTAGCCACACAGCGTAACTTTATCACGAATGTAATTTTGATGTCATATGGAATTGCAAAGTTATCTTTTAAAAATTTCGCGTAATATAGTTGTATTCGTATGTCATGCAGCTCATTATCACATAATACAGGTAGCTACATTCTTATGTATGAGAGCTAGATTCTCGCGTGTTTGAGCTAGATTCTCGCGCGTTTGAGTTAGATTTTCGCGTGTTTGAGTTAGATTCTTGCTTGTTACAGCTCGACTCTTATGTTTTTGAAATACATACTCGCATATTTCAACTTTGTTGTTAAGCAAAACTTCTATGTCAGCGAGATCTCTTTTTGGCACACACGTAAGAGAAATATATTCTCGTCGCGTATTTTTGCTTTATTGTCTTGTGAAATACATTGGTTGTCGTATCACACTTGTGCAAGAGCAAGAGCTATATTCTTGCATATTTTAGATTGCTCGTATTATGTAATGCAAACTGACTTCAATGTCGCGTGATAGAATTACATTTTTCGTGTTAGAGCTAGACTTTTGTGTGTTAGAGCTGAATTTTTGCTTGTTTTCGCGCATTAGAGCTATGTCTTACATTTTCGTGTGTTACAGCTACATTCTTCTTGCATGTTAGAATTATATTCTTGCGCATTTTAGATTGTCTTTATGCAAATTTCAGTTCTCTTTCTAAATGTCACACACACGCGTTGCAGAGCTACTTTCTCATATGTTGTGTATTAGATGCATGAAAAAATACTTTTTCTCGCGTTTTAGTTGTGTCTATATCATGACAGAGCTACATTTTGGTTTTTAGAGTAGCTTCCTTGTGTAGTATTAGAGTGCCGCTTTCGCATGTCAGTTTTGACTAGTACATTCTGGTGAATATTTTAGCTTTGTTGTTGTATTCTAGTAAGTCTCTTTCTAGTACACACGTGAGAGAACTATTCTCGTGTGTTTTAGTAGCTTTATTATCATATGAAATGCATTATCTTTGTTATGGTGTTACACCAGTGAGAGAGCTAGACTTTCGCGCGTTTTAGCTTTGGAAGTACTATATCATCGTGAAATTTGGCTTTGGTGTCAAGGAGTGTAATATAACTACATTTTCGCATGCTGTCAGAGTTTCTGAATCAGTCTGGTACGTTAAAGAGTGTTAGGACTACATTATCACGTGTTTTAGATTTGTTGTTGTAGCATATTAGAACTGTGTAAGATTTCTGTGCTGGTGAGACGCGTCACAGAACCATTCCAATGTATGTTAGCTTTTTGTTGTCGTGTGAAATGCATTTATTGTCGTGTCATACGTGGAACTTTGTCTGTATTATGCCATGCAATTTAGCTGCCAAGCTATATTTTTGGGTGATAGAAATATACATCATTGCGTTAGAGTTACATTTTTCGCGCAATAGAGCTACATTTTCGCGATTAGAACTATATTTTGTGGGTCAGAGCTGTGATCTGATGTGTTAGAGCTATGTTCTTATGTGTTAGAATTATCTATAAATTTTGTAATAGAGTCGCGTAATGTTGTCGTGCAATGTAGCTATATAAATATGTTTGGTAAAAACGTCAAAAACATCATATTTTTACATTAAAATGAATTCATTTTTGCATTTTTATTTTAGAAAAATTCATTTAAAGTCCCAGTACAACAGTAAAATAACGACTGCCAACAGTCAACAAAAACAACGTTTTGCAATTGGACATTTGCAATACACAGTTCACCCCCCAGCTTGAGCAGCTTCAGATAGCTGGAGTAGGTATACATCTGCTTTTAAAACTCTCAATCGGTTTGGCACCAAGCCTTGCAGCTGCGACGTTCTAGCAGCACCTTTATTCCACTCTTTTTGAGGCCTTCCAAACAGCAGTTTGATGCCCCATACAATTTTCTACAGTACCAGAAAGCACCTTATTGTTTTACGCGCACTACTCTACAACCAAGGCAGCTACTGACTTCCCGCTCATATAGATGTTGAGGAGGGCTACAAGCTTGATCCATCCCTGCACTGGTTGTATGCAAATTCCATATGAGCCTCTCACCACATTGTCTTTCGTTATTTGTTAGTTTACTTTTTTAGCTCCTGGTGAGTCGAATTTGTTATTTACATTGTTTTGCTTTTGTACTCTCACTGGGCCCCATATCCCAGCTCGAATGGCTTCTGGCCGGCCGGGGACGCTCGCGCCGCCGATATACCTAGCTAGTGACAGGGGATAGAGAGCACTACATACAGCCTGTGCATATGAACAGGGAGGAAGCCCGCAGATTGAGAGCAAGGCCAGCCATTTTTTTTGCCTGAATTCAAAAACGTCCATTTCCTGTGCAATCGAACAGGATAGCGATGCCTGTTCAATTGCACAGGGCCTGCCTGTTCATATGTACAGGAGGCTGTACATATATACAGGAGCTCGACGTCCTGTTCAAATGCACAGGAATTGTGACGTTTTCTTCTGGGTAGGCTTTCTCATTACTCAACAGTAACACATAGATCTGCCAGTACGTTCAGCATTACAGTCAAGCATGTCCTCTGCGTTCAGTCAAGCTGATGATCAACTCTCCTCTGGAGCGTTCCTCAATCGTGCATGACTTTAAATCCGACCCTAATTTTAGGGTCGTCCCTATTTTTAGGGTCGGTTTCGCAACCCGACCCTAAAGGGAATCCGACCCTAAATCCAACCGAATCCGACCCTAAATCTGACCCTATTTTAGGGTCAGTTTCATGCACAATTGAGGAACGCTCCTGCTATCTCGCAGGCTGAGGTATGGACGTCTTCACCCGTAATTATTCAAGTAGCTAGCTCTCTCAAAGACGATGGAGACAGAAAGGAAATCAATTTTATTCCAACACTCGGTCACAATACTCGCAACCGATCGGAGCCCAACACTGCTATTGTGCACTGGCTCCCAAAGGAATTCTCTACCAATACTGCTGAGTTTCGCACTAAAACGCTTGCACCATATTTTGTCAACGCTTGTCGTGCTTCTGGCTTTGTTGTACGACTCAGGGGTTTCGAGAAATCAAAAGATATTGCTGCCTTCAACCAGCATGCAGAAGCACGTCCAATTTCCTGTGCAATTGAACAGGAGGTTGGATCCTGTACAATTGCACAGGAATCACGTCGATCCTGTACAATTGCAGAGGAATCACATCGATCCTGTACAAAAAAAATAACAAAATTTTATTTTAAAGACTACACCTCGTCAAACGATCCGCTGAACGGTGCCGTGATGAACCCATATACCTCAGGCGCACGAGTGCGCCCACTTAGGATGGGCCTAGTGTAAGCCCCCCACCGGAGAAATTTTAACAAAACTCCGGAGGGTGCTGTACGACTAACTAGCTACCCTTGGCTGGATTGCCATCTATTTCTACGGTAAGACCCCCTCTGTGCGTAGTTACCATGTGTCATTGTTCTGCACTGTGCGTGCATGCTCGTCCCTAAGTGCCTTGTCAATGACAGGCAGCCAATTGGCAAGCCACGCTTTGATGTCGCCTGGGCCCTTTGCCATTTGCTCGTCATGCGGTCGCTTGAAGATAAAATCCACCACTTTTTCACGGGAAGCCGAAAACCGAAGCGCTTCCCCTCTGGATCTGTCACTACAAGAACAACAACACTACTACTAATGCAACAAACACAACCACGGTCATACCTATACCATTACACTACCTATTAGCACCATTAGAGCATTGAACGAAGCGAAAGGACCTCAGGAAGCCTGTTTTCTGTTATCTTGTTGAAGAGTACTGTTTACTATAGGTTCAACTCAACGTCATCACGGAAAACATACACCTTTTTTCCTCTCTTTACAACCTATTCAAGCCGAAAAGGATCGATAACTCCTATCTCCTATCAAGCGCACCTCCTCTATCAAACGACTATCAAAGCGGCGTTCTCCGGTCCAGATTAGAAAACCATCCCAATTAAATCCTACGAGATGGGCGGGTTTTCTATTCTCGACCGCCGACGGCCAAGTTGGTGAATTTGAACACAAGAAGAGCACACCG